GAGAGAGAGAGAGAGGAAAGGGCGGTTGGCGGCCAATGCCAACAGCCACCAAACGCGCGCAGACCTCGCGAGGGCCCCTGAAGGCCATGACTTCACTTCACGGCCCCCCGCAGTGACGGCCTCGGCCGCAACCTGACCTATAGTAGGACATGAACCTCCCCGCGCGGAGGCCCGAACTGCGCGCCTCGCGCGCTAGCCGACAATGCCTGCGTCATGCGAGTACAGCAGACGCATAAAGTTTGGGTAAGGTTTTTTTTTTTTTGGCACGAGCCCGTCACCACCACTCATCGAAAGAGCTACTCTGCTGCTGCTGCTGACAGAGTCCCAGCCGCTTTTGCTTCCGATAAAGCCACATGACACGGAGAGGCAGGCAGGCAGGCAGGTACCAGGTGTCTCAGGTCTCGTATTTTTCAGGCGTGGCTTGTTCTTTTTTTGTTTATTGTACGACTTTCTGGCCGCCTGAACAGTGGGCGTTGGCACCAGCATGCAGTCGGGCGCAAGGGAGCAGGGTCCGAGTAAGATAAAAAAGCAAAGGACTGCAAGCCAAGGCTGATGGAGGGAGGAAAGAGGTGTGCAAGAAAAAAAAGAAGAAAAAAAGGAGATAAAACGATAAAACGCCCCCTCGGCACATTTCCCCAGGCCGGTGTGGGCTCGCATTCGGAGTGGGGAAGAAGGTCCGCCCGCACCCGCGGGACGGCCGGGGTATGGTCCAAGCGGTCAGTCTGTCACTCTGCCTTGGTTGGGAGGGGGGCCGGGTGATTGTGATGGTAATGTGTGGCGTCGATGCTGGCAGGGTGAGCTGGCCCCGGCCGTGTGTCGGGCTTCACCGGGCCGGGCTGAGGGGAAGGCCGCCGATTGGCCTGCAGCCGTACTCACCCTAGGCCTGTCCTTGAGCCGCCCTACGGAGGTGTCAGGCAAAAGTTTTCGCCGTTGGGGCATGTATCGACCAGGGCAGGGCGTGTTCAGCTCCTACCAAATAAGGCCTAGCTTATACATTTTTCGAAATCAATTACAAGTCTAGTGCTGTAAAAATATGTTAATTTATGAACTTCTATGCATTGTTATTGGTCGTGGCATACCCCGGCCCCCTGCCTCGCCTCGGGAGCGACCTGCCCCACGGCGAAAACTTTTGCCTGACACCTCCGTACGAGTAGCTGTGTAGGTCAAGTGGTTAAGCGCAGGGGGGCGTGCGTCTGTGGAGGTGTCTGGCGTCTTGTATCTGCCGGCTGGGTAGCAGCTGAGGCTTTTGCGGCGTGGGGGTTTGATGGGACAGGACAACAATGGTGGTGGCCAAGCTTCCTTGTCGACAGAAGTGGCATCTGGTGCCAGCCCAGGAAGCCCGAGATAAGGCCTTGGCACAGTCATACCGCGGAGAAAGGGCAATATCATCGAGCTGGAGGCTGATTTTGGCAGCTTTTGTGGCTCCCGCGGCTGCCAACTGCTGCTGATCGTCATCCGTAGACAGCAATCTTGGCTTCAGCCCTGAACTAGAAGCGGACATCTATGTACCTTGCTGCCTAATAGGGACGTAGTGCTGCAGCATCTCCCCTGAGTGCCGACATTTAGCTTGTAAGCTTGTCTTTTGGACAAGTGGCGGCGTTGTGGCTGTTGGTTGGTTGGTGGGTTGCGATATCAGATTCCGGTAGAGGCGCTCGTCTAAGCAGCCCCAGCACAGGGATGGAAATGATAGAAACAGACACTGACACGGTCCGGGCGTTGTGATGGGTGTTCCGCCGCCAGCCCCCGAGGCCCAAGCTCCCTCGGGCACTCTGATCTTTTTTTTGTTTCCCCTCCTCCTCCATCCTTTTTTTTCGACTCCTCTCAGAGGGGGAGAGGCACTGCTGCGCTCGAGCGCGCCGACGCGGGTGCGGGCAAGGATACGCCGGCTCTCGCAGGGAAATCACACGTGCTTGGCAGGCAGTCAAACCGGCGTCGCCTCTGAGACGGAACGAGGCGAGCAATACGTAAGGAGGAGGGCGGCTTGATTCGCCGACATGCGCAAGTGATTCTGTTCACAAGTCGGGAGGGCAGCCCGGCGCAGAGGCGACACGGTCCCGCCCAAGATTTGATCACAGAAAGCCAAGATATGCATCCGTCCCATGCTTCGGGGAATGCTGTGATTTGGAGAACCTGGTGCTTTTTTTTTGTGGCTGCGTGACTGGCTTGATCTTGTTTCCACTCATGTTTTGAGTTTTCGAGCTTGTCCATTTGCTTAATTTATTTCTCTTTTTCTCCCTTGCTTTCTTTTGCTTTTTATCACATCGCCTTGGAAACCCGCGGCATCTGGTCTTTCCTTCTCTATCCCTTTCTTTTCTCCCGCTCCGCGATCAGCACCAGCTTGCTTTCGGAGCACTCAGCTGAGACGTCGGGGAATTTGGCGGCTGGAGCCCTGCCCCTGTCGGGCTATCAATGACATCCATCCCGCCGACACCAAGGCCAATAAGGACCGCACAGACGCCCGCAGACCGTTACGGTGGGGCTCTTCTTTCCCGCACCTCTTGATTTCTTTCCTCTCGTTGTAAGCCCGCCAGCCGCACAGGCAGCGAGGAAGCGGCGGCTAGTTCCGCCCACATGCGGTACCTGGGTACCTACCTACTCACAGAGACACAGAGACACAGAGCCAGTTGCAGCCGGGGTTTGCTGCGCCATGTACCTAGAGTTTGGTCATGCGACCTCATCGCCGACCGCCTATGCTCTGTTCGACATTCACAGGCCCCACGGCTGGGCACACCGACGTCGTGTCCAAACACCAGTGTCACTGATGCGTTGTTCATTGGTCCGGGCCGTTCACAGTGTCATTTGGGTGGGCCGCTGGTTTGTTCTTTATTTTATTATCTTTATTTTTTATTCTTTTCTCGTTTGCCACGCCCGTGTCTAGTCTGGTCTACCTAGGTAAGGGGCTGGCAGTTGGCATGACAGCATTTGATCATAACCGAAACTTGGCGTTCCCTATTTCGGGTGACCTGCCACACCCAATCTTCCGCTGCATGGATGCCGTCAAACTCTCTCGCCCACAAGGCCAAGCACTCTTCTTCCCATTGACAGAGAAAGCGGCGGGCATTGATGGAGGCAGCTGGTCGTGGGGCAGATGGGCCGCCTGGCTTCTGCCCCTAGTTGAGGCTGACCGCCTTGGGGGGTGCGGGCTGCGCACGAGCTAGGCCTGGCCCAAGCTGAAGTCCCGGAGAGGGATCGGCTCGGGTCCTCGCAGCAGATCGTACTGGGTGGGCCGCCTTGAGAGGGCCACTTTAGGACACCCGACCTTGCCGAGGCGGACGGCCACCAAAAAAGGAATGCGATGCCACCGGGCCACTGCATAAGGCCCAGGGGATCGGCTGAGGGCTCAGTTCATTCCACACATCGCGTCTGACTGCCAGTGCCAGAGTCGGAGTTTTGGCTGCTCATCGACACAGGCTAGGTTAGTCGGGCCCTACTTAAGGGACCTTAAGGGACCTAGCCTAGCCTAGTTACTGGCTAACTGCCAGCTGCCGGAATCCATAGCTGTCGATGGCGCACCTAGCCGGTCTAGGTCGTTTTATGGTTTGGCGGTATGGGCCCCCAAAAGCCGCCGCCTGGAGATGTCGTCTCTGCGCACCTCACAGTCCTCGGAGCTTCATCCGAAGTCATGGAAGGTCCCCGGGGCACATCACGGTCCGTGACTCTGCCCTTGTTTGGGCGGTGGCGTCGAGCGGGCGCCCCGGGCTGGGTCGTCGGGTCCCACAACGGATGAAGTCGCATCGCGATCCATGCTCGCACCCCTCAGTCCGACGAGGGGTATCGCGGCGGCTTCAGCTGTGGCGCCGCCTGTCTGGGTGCCTGGGTGTCTGGCTCCTCTGGTCCGACGCAGCACAGCAACGCCGCCTGTTTCTTCTCGGTTACGACTGTGCTAACCATGCTGACCATGCTGGCGCGGCGGCTCCTTGGGTTCCTGGTCTAGCGGTTAGCACTGGGCTGGAAGCAAAGCAGAAGAAGAACGACACACCCTGCGTGCCTGCACACAAATCAGCCGGAATGGGTCACATTGTTTCCCCGATCCCCGGCGTCGCCGGCTGCCACCCTCCATGAAATGCCATCACCCCAGCCATCACGGAAAGGACAGGAATCGAGGGTTGCATCGCACTTGTCCCGAGACCCCTGCTTCAGCCAAAAGCGAACAACGCAGAGCGGCAAGCTACCAGGGACGAATACCGCTGCCGCTAAAAGGGGACTGCCTGCCATTGTGCTCCCCCTAGACCTGGTATCCACGTCCCACGTCCCAGGCCCGCTCTTTCGTCTGGTCGCTCTTTTCGGCCAACCCAACGGACGTGGCCGAACGGAAACAACCACCCCGCCTGCATAATCGCATGACCCGGCATCCTGAATCCCAGCAGCCGTTCCATTCAATTGCCACTGATTCCTGGCGGCTGAGAGCGACGACGGCGAAGACAGCACAGTGAAGGAGGCAAAAATACCGCCTATAACAGTGTGGACTGCAAGGGAGAAGGGAGAAAAAAAAGACAAAAAAAAAGAAGCAAAACCCGCACCCGTCCCGCCCACTGGCACCCCCTCCCTCGGTCTAGCGACGCAAAATTGGTTCCCGTCTGTCTGGTGTAACCACACCACCCACAGCTGCACCTCGCCCATTATTGGCAGCGCTCAACACACCACCAACCAACGCCCCGACTGCAGCTGCACCTCTGCAAGCCGCAGCCTTCACCAAGACTACCGCCGCCGCCTCGTATCAGCCGTCCGAGCAGAATTGAAGACTCGACCCGACCAGGCCCGCTGGGGCCCGACTGCCGCGCGAGAGTCATTGACACAGTCGTTGAGACACACGGACGGCACGCAAATAAATACCCAACCTACCCCTTGGCCAGCCAGCCGAGCGACCTTCCTGGCAATCGTAATCCACAAAACAGCGCGCGATCCTGCAGCAAAAGCCTGTCTTGTGCCCAGTGCTGCCCCTCCACCCGCCCTAGCAAACTCAGCAGGAGAGCACGTCCGCGCCGTCCACATCCGACGAACCGGGAAACCTTCGCGCCGCCGCTTTGGTGCTGCTTTGGTCACCTGTGCTTCCTGCATCTGCCATCCTTCGGAGACGCGCTCCCTGACAGGCCCCATTCCGTTGTCTGCCCGCCCCTTTAGCGAAACCGGCGCTGTGGGAGGGCCCATTATTCTTATAAAGCTGCTCCCCGCACCTCGACTTCCCTCGCCCTTTTCCCACCCTCTGGCCCAGCGCGTTGCCGGCTACGGTTCTTAGACCACGACTTGGTTTCTAGACCAAACCAGTCAGACATAAGGCACAGGCCCTCGCCCTGCGTTGCTTCGCCTGCTGTCTGCGGTCGCATTCCGCGGGAACCCGCGTCATCGTCCGCGCGGTGCGACGCCAGTGGCTGTTTTCCTCCCGGTTGGAATATTCTAGCGGGCCGACTACCTTCAGGTGCGTTGCGCGTCGGGAGAGAAGCAACAAGTGGATAAAGGACGCCCGACCCCTGAAGCCACGAGCGGCGGCGTGCAGCGGACCATTTTGGTTCAGGGCCAAAGCAAGCAGCCACTAACCTGGGGCTTGTGACGCTACTTTTAGGCCCTGACCTAGTACCTAGGTACTTGGCTTAGCTTCGCTAAACCTCGAACCCCACATCCGCACCCATATAGCCCATCACGATCGCGAAAACCGAAGCCGGCAAGACAAACCCAGAGACCAAAACGCAGGCGCGAGACGGGGGAGCGAAAGAGAGGGAGAGAGAGAGAGAAAGAACTCGGCAAACCCAGGAAAAATGGCCGCCTCACACCCAACACTGACGACACCTTACGAGGAGCGGGCTAAAACGGCCGGCCACCCACTCAGTTCATACCTCCTCCGGCTGATGGAACTCAAGGCCTCGAACCTATGTCTGAGCGCCGACGCCACCAACGCCCGCGAGCTGCTACAACTCGCCGACAAGGTCGGCCCCTCGATTGTGGTCTTCAAGACGCATTACGACCTCGTGGCCGGCTGGGACTACAACCCGCAGACGGGTACGGGCGCCAGGCTCGCCGCGCTGGCCCGGCGCCACGGGTTTCTCATCTTTGAGGACCGCAAGTTCGCCGACATTGGCAAGACGGTGCAGCTGCAGTACACGGGGGGCACGGCGCGCATCGTGGAGTGGGCGCACATCGTCAACGTCAACATACAGGCCGGCAAGGAGGTGGTGCGCGCCATGGCCGAGGCCGCGGCGCACTGGCGCGAGCGCATCAAGTATGAGGTCAGGACCAGCGTCACGGTCGGCACGCCCATATCGGACAGCTTCGACGAGGACCAGGACGAGGAGGTGTCGCCGACGACCACCGGCAGGTCACAGCAGACGCCCACGCTAGCGCAGCGCCGCCAGACGTCGCCCCACCACGAGTCGGCCGCGGCCAAGGCGCGCAAGAACAGCGGGCAGTCCGGGCTCGCCGTCGGGGCCGTGCCCATCCCGCAGCCCTACTGCCGCGACTCGGTCGACGGGCGCAAGGGGAGCATCGTGTCGATAACGACGGTGACGCAGTCGTACGAGCCGGCCAACTCGCCGCGGCTGTCCAAGAGCATGGCCGAGGGCGGCATCGACGATGTGGTGTTCCCGGGCATCGAGGAGGCGCCGCTGGAGCGCGGGCTGCTGATCCTGGCGCAAATGTCGACGGGCGGCTGCCTCATGACGCCCGAGTACACGCAGGCCTGCATCGAGGCCGCGCGCGACAACAAGGGCTTCGCCATGGGCTTCGTGGCGCAGCAGGCGCTCAACAGCGACCCCGACGACTCCTTCATCCACATGACGCCCGGTTGCAAGCTCCCGCCAGAGGGCGACGACGACGAGGACGACGGCGAGCTCGAGGGCGATGGCCTGGACCAGCAGTACAACACGCCGTCGCTGCTCATCGGCGACAAGGGCACCGACATTGTCATTGTCGGCCGCGGCATCATCAAGGCCGGCGACCCGCAGTCCGAGGCCGAGAGGTACAGGCGCATAGCCTGGAAGGCCTACCTGGCGCGCCTGCCGCAGCCCTAGCCCGGCCGGAGCCGCCGCGGTGCGCTGCCGCCTCAGAGGCGCGACAGGCCGCTCCCGCCCTTGCCGGAGTATTTTGCCGACCTGTTTTCGGCCCCTCCTAAGCGTCTTTTCCGACAATAGGGAGGGTGCTTTCTGTTTTATTTTATTTTTTTGTTTTTATTTTTTGCTTCCTTCTTTTCTTCTTCCTTCTCAGTATGCCATATCTCACTGCTAGGCGCAATGGTCTGAAAACGGCAAAGGAATCATCACATGCAGTGGGAATAGTATTGCATCCCTTTTTTTTTTTTGCACGCGATGGTACAGGAGTGAATGGTGTTTTATCCCCCTCTACGCGAGAGGCGGCTTTTTTTTTGAACTTTTATTCTTATTCATTTTATTTTATGTACAGGCTAGCGGAAGGGTTTGACATCATGGTTGCTGGAGAGGTGAAAGTGAGTGTGCGTGCGGTATGTTTGTCGTTTTTATTCCTCGCGCGCGGGCGGCTTCCTTATTGCGCCGCCTCGTGTCTGAACCATCATAGCCCTGCGATTCTTTCCGACGTGGGTAGCTAGGCAGGAATACCTATTTCACCTAGTTTATAGGGCTCCAACGGCAAGGGCGAGCTGAGAACAAAACAAAACCATTTTTCTGCCCCGCGACTTGTGCTTCTCTATATCACTCATGGAACATATGGGCGTTGCGACCTTGGTGGCTGATTACCTAAGCCGCACAGACCTTCGGACTTAACCCCTTTTTGACATGGGCTGCTTCTTATCTCCGTCTCACCATCTTCACGCACCTGCTGCTACTACTGCTCACCACCTCTTCCCCCATTCCCCTCTCGTGGTTCGGTTGCCACCAATGTGCCCAGCGCGGTTACAGACGGATGTAGCTGGTCTTGTAATCCCGGCCTCCTGACATTCCGCATTGGCAATCTCGCCCTCATGATCCTGTTACCTGTTATCCGCCAATGACTGTGTGGGTCAAGAGCGAGTGTATCTGGACCTTTTTGGGGGTGAACGACCTTGGAGCATAGGTAGGTACACCTACGCCTACCTGCCTAGGTACCTATCTTACCCCTACCCACTACTACACATATACCTCCCGCGGAAGCAGCCCCCCATCCCCTCCGGCATGGATGCGGCTGCGGCTGCTGCGGGTCCTTCGTCCGGGTCAATCGCGGCGGCGCTCGACGTGACCGTCTCGGACGAGAACAGCAGCAACAACGACAGCACCGACCCGGCGGCGGTGGCCACCGCCCGGCCGCCGCCCAAGAAGAGGCGGCGGCTCGTCATCTCGTGCGTCGAGTGCCACCGGAGGAAGCAAAAGGTGCGCGCGTGGGCTGCGAATTTTCTGGATATACATCCTTAGGTCCTTCCCATTGTCCCCACACCCACACACACACGCCTCTTTTTGCGTCTGTTGAAAGCAAATACGCTCTTTTACAAATCTGACATTCTCATCTTTTTTTTACTCTCTTCATCTTGCTCGTTCCGCAGTGTGACAGAGGCTACCCCTGCACCAACTGCAGGTCCCGCGGCAAGGAGCACGCGTGCCGCTACGAGACGGCCGCGACCCCGGGCGCCAAGGCCGGCAGCGGCGGCGGCGGCGGCAGTGGTCCCTCTACCGCCGCACCTGCCCCTTCAACCGGCGAAAACACGCCGGCACAGCCAGCAAGCGACGGCGGCGGCGGCGACGACGGGACTGGGACGGGCAAGGCGGCCAACTTTGGCTACGCCGCGGCGGGGGGCGCGTCCACCATGGGGTTCCTCCGGCGCATCGACCGGGCCACGTCGTCGCCGGGCTTGGCGGGGGACTCGCTGACGCGCATCACGGCCGAGGCGGGCCGGCTGGCCGACGACTTTGGCACGCGCGAGCGCTACCGGTGCCTGATCCGGCAGCTGCCGGCGCGCGTCTACGTCGAAAAGCTGGTAGAGGTGTTTTTTGAAAAGTACAATATCCACTATGTAAGTCTTTAGTGCGGCTGTGAAGAAAGGAAAAGGAGGTTTTTTTTTGGGGGTGGGGGTGAAGCGAAGGAGTGGGAAAAAGCAAAAAAAAAAAAACACCTTCAGCTAACACTCGAAAAGTACCCCCTAGAATACGACGTCTTCATGGCGCAGCTCGCCGAGTGGAACAGTCTCCCCTTCAGCGTCTTCACCACGGTCGGGCCGCGCGGCCTGAGCCCTACCCTGCGCGCCTTCCCGGCCGTGCTCTTCCAGGTCGCCGCCATGGGGCTCCTATCGCTGGGCAGCGACGAGCCGCACCCCGTATACGACGCGCTCAAGTACGCGGGCGACATGACGTTTGAGGACGTGGCCTCCGACTACAGCGAGTCGGGCGTGGCAGTGCTGTCGCTGCTGGGCAAGCGGCAGATGTCGCTCTGCACGGTCCAGGCCGGCTTCATCCGCTGCTTCTTTCTCAAGTACATGGCGCAGGTGACCGAGGCCTGGCACGCCATCGGGGCTGCCATCCGGGACGCGCAGGAGATCGGCTTGCACCGCGAGGACCAGGACCCGCGCCCGGTGGTCACGGTCGCGGCCGGTGTCGAGGGCGAGGGCGAGGACGACGCGGCCGCCGCGGCCGTGCTGCGGAACCAGTGGGAAGTGCAGCACCGCCGCTCGCTGTGGCACATGCTCTGCCTCTGGGACGTGCACACGGGCCTGGTGCTGGGCCGGCCCCTGACCACCGACGGCGACGCCCAGCCACCTTTCCCCGTTGACTGCCCCGTCCCGACGGGCGGGCTCGAGGCCCGGTCCCGCACCGCCGTGCTCCCGCGCGGGCCCGACGACCCGCCCACGCCCATGACGCGCAACCTGTGGACGGTCCGGCTGCTCCCGCTGCTGCGCGAGGTGGCGCGGCTCGAGGCGTCGGGCCCCTGCCCGCGCGACTTTGACCGCGTCGACCAGATCCACCGCGAGATGGAGGCGCTCGAGGCCCAGATCCCGCCCTGCTTCCGCGTCGACAACCCGGACACGCGCTTCGACGACCACCCGGCCTGCAGGGGGTGGCTGCGCGGCGTGCGCACCATCCTGCCGCAGCTCGCCTCCTTCGGCTACTTCGTCCTGCACCGCCCTTATGTCTTCACGCGGCCACGCAGCCGCGCCGTGGCGCTGCGGGCCTGCGTCGACATGCTGAAGGGGCAGCGCGCCCAGTTCGAGGGCATGGCGCCCGAGGAGCACCGGTCCTTTGCCGTCTTCTTCGGCACCTTTGACGCCATCGTGCTGCTCGCCACCGTCTTCGTGCTGTTTCCGCGCGAGCACCCGGACCTGCTGCCCGACGCGCTTCAGCACTTTTCCTGGGCCGTCGAGCGCTTCGAGGTGCTGTCGCGCCGCAATAACCTCGCCCGGTCCGCCGTCGCCGTCCTGCGTGCCATCTGGGTCCGCCTCCAGCGCTCGCTCGCCCGGTCCTCGGCCGTGGTGCCCGTGGACCCGCGGCTCGCGGCGGCGGCGGCGGACAGCGACGTCATCAGTCCCTTTTCCAGCGGCAGCGGGCTCCTAGGCGTCACTCCATCTACGGCGTCGGCTGCCACGGCAGCCGTGCCGTCGACGAGCGATGTTAGCATCAGCATCAGCGGCGGCGACGGCGACGGCGACGGCAACGGTCACGAAAACAGCAGCGCCGGCGGCCTGGACACGCTCCTCCTGGCGCGGACGTCCGCCGAGCCCTGGTCCCTGCCGTCCGACTTTGACTGGTCCAGCATCCAGACGCTCTACCCCACGACCGACCTCGCCTACAACGAATTGATGACTGGCGACCATGGCGCCTTTGCCGGTGCCGGGGGCTTCCTGGACGACGGCGGCACCGAAACAGCCGTCCCCGCGGAGCTGCAGACGTGGCCGCCGCCGTCGCACGGCTTCTTCGGCAGCGGCGGCGGGGAGGGGGATGCCCCTGCTCCCGGGGTCGTCCCTGCAGGCGCTGCCGCCTCAGGTACCGGCCTGGCCGGTGCTGACTCTGGCGGCACGCAGGGGCAGCAGAACAACACGGCTTGGCAGTTCGAGGGAGACTTTGGCGATGACAGCATCTGGCAGGTGCTCAACCTCTACACCCCCTTTTGACCGGGGGAAGAATCGCGCTCAAAAAGGCGGACGGCGCGGGATGATTAGCATCAGGTATCCGCGCATCAGCCCAGTCTCATCTAAATAGCTCCCCCAAGAGGAATAACCGATCGTACTGGTAGCCGCTGCCGCCAATGGCGTCGCCCGATGTGTCTGACTGTTTGTTTTTCTCAGAGCATAACTCAAAACAATCACCATCCGAAGTCGCCAGCGCTCGTTATCTGCGGGGAGCTGACTTTCTGAGTAGCCGATTACAAGCCCATTTCCGATGCTGTCCCGCGCTTGCCGGGTTTTTTTTACTAATGCATCCTCTCGATGATGAGGGGAGGCTTAAACAGAGACAGCTGTGACTCACGCCTACTTGGAAAGGCCTTCCGACCCTTACTTGCTTCACATCTCGGTACCCGCTCCGATGCCAGTGGGGAGCCTTCTCAGGAGGCTGACGCTGCTGGGGACGCCGCGCGAATCGGTAGTGTCGACGCTTCAGGAACCGCTCCCCAGGTCCCACCCGAGTACCGGCATTGGGTAAGCATCCCGGTCGAGCCGCCGCCGCCCCTGCCTCAGATGACATCTCCGCTATCCCCCCGAGGATACGCTGTGAGCGACCACGACCCAAGCGAGAACGCCCACCAGCAGCAGCGGCGGCAGCTGCGGCTACACCACCTGCACCCGGCCGCGCGAGAGACCGAGTTCTCGCACGTCTGGTGGACCGACATCAACTGGGGTGCGTCCGAGTTCACACGCCAGCGCTATACGCTGCGAGCCTACAGCTTCACGCGGCCGCGGCCCACGGCCCACGGCGCTGGTCGTGGTGTCGCTTGCCGTCTCGGACGGACACATGGCGGCGCAGGTGGGGGCCGCCGTAGAGGCCATCGCGCGCAACCTGCGCTTGAGGCTATTCGCCCCGGGCTTAATGCCGCACCGCGGTGTCATGGGGGAGACGTACGAGCTCGCGATGCGCCTGCGGCCCGAGGCGGGGACGCCTGCCGAAGAGGAGGAGAGGACGGGACGGAGAGGGCGTGAGAGACGGCGAAGACAATCCATGTCGACCGCTCCAGGGGCCGGTGGAGGAGGAGCCCCAGCAGCGGGTAGTAGCAGCAGCAGCGTCAACACCAGCGCCAGCTCGGGCCTAAGCCCCACCACCACCACCACCACGACGTCCTCGTCCCACAGGGTCGTCTCAGTCGTCGACGACTATGGCGACACAGTGGGCGAGGCTCACCCGCCACAGCCGGTGCAGATGCTCTTTTTCGACTCGCGCGCGCGCCTGCGGACGGCCGAGGACGCAAACGTGTGGGTGGTGCGCGCCTTTGCCGACTGCCTGAAGGCCGACACGTGGATGCCGCTCGACCACCTGCTGGGTCTAGGGCCCTTTCTCAGCTGCCACTGGGCGCTGACTTACTCACTCGGGGATGGTGCTGTTGCTGCCGGCTGCGGGACATGGCCGAACATTCCGAGTGCGCCGTGGTGTTTAGTAGGAGGCTGGGCCAGGACGTAAAAGGTGGAGACGGTACCGGGGAGATGCGCCCGCCCGTGCCGCCGCTGCCGGGCAGCAGTAGGCAGGCGGGAGACGTGCTGGGGATGCTGGCGGTTTGTCGGCAGGGGAGTGAGGCCGGGGTGGGTGGTGCTGCCAGGCCTGGGTCGTCTGGCTTAGCCACCCTCACCGCGACCGGCATCAACAGGCCCGGGTCCCCGGAGGGGAGAAGAGGAGGGGGCGTGTATGGGGGAAGTGGGAGAGGCGGGAGCAGGCCACCGTCAGGCGGGCGGGCCGTGTACCGGCGCAAGGAGACGTCACGCGAGCTTGGGGACGGCATCTTGGCGTACAGGCTGATTCATGATTGAACGGCAGATGTGGAGATGGGTAATGAGACGGGCAGCAAGCCTGTCTGTTCGTGTAACACTTGTGGGCTCTGCTTTGGGCGAAATCTGTGTGACGCTGGGCGAGGGCCGGTTGAGCCCAACTGGGCTGGGCTGGTCAGGCTCCTTTTCCGTGTATTGTATGATGGGCGTCGAAGCAGGATTCCAGGCTTGCGTTCTTTTCCTAATGTGGCAGCAATCATTGTAGGTGCCTGTTGGAACTTCCATCAATGCCATGGAGTGGACTGTTGGTTCTTGAGCGGCAAGAAGATGCGAGGTTGTCAAGTGGCTGCTGCGGGATGTGTTGCATCAAAGGGTGGGCACAGTGGGCTGGCCTATTTTCAGCGTGCACGACTACCGCGCGCCAACTGACGATCCCTGCAGGCCGCTTGTGCCTGGCCCAGCTTCGCGTTGCGTCGTGTGGGATCCATCGACCCCGCCACGAAGCGGCGCGTGCGTCGCAACTGCCGCCACAGAAAACGTCAAGAATCAAAATCAATTGACTCCATCGCTGTTTGCCCAGATAAATCCCTTTTGGCTCCTTTATTCAACGGACGCCCGTCGCAGCTTCATTTCAAGCTCACCGCCCGTTTAGTTTTTGTTTGTCGAGCCCAAGGCGTCTGGCGGGTAAGGCGGATTCCATTCTGCCATCCGACAAACGAGACCGACACCAAGGCGCCGTTTTCAGCTGGCCTGCATCCCTCCCTCCATCCTGCCCAGCTGCGCATCGAAGCTGCTCGATTTGACAGGGGCCAGCTCCGCCGCACCAGCCTTGTGCACCGGGCAGCACCACCTCTGTGCTGCACATGCGCCCTCTTCCTGCAGTTACCTTGGCTGCAAACGGCCGCCACCCCGACCACTTTACTGCTACGCCCCTGCTCTCTCTCCTGATCAATCAATCCCGACAAACTCCAGTTCATTCCGTTCCTCCCACAGCCAAACCCCCTGTGCTGTGCGCCCTCTACCACTCTCGGTTTTGGGACCGCTGTTTGATAGTAGCTTTATTTGATGGGGACGAGCTTTATACGTTGCTATTCCCGCAACTTTCTTTGCATTTCCTCCCACTCTCCTGCCCGGCTGCGGCTGTACCACCCCTCGTCCCGGCTCCCAATCGACCAATATCGTTAAGCGACCACAGGCTACTCGCTGAGCGCCCGCCTCATCCAACATGGCAGCACAGCTGGGGGGCGACATGATGAGCTTTGTCCAGAGATATCAGATCCTCAAGCAACAACAAGACAGCAGTGACGAGCTAATCAAGGTCCGTTTGCTGTCGCAGCCTGGATACCCTATTGACTATGTGCTGATGCTTGCTTCTGCCCAAACACAGGACCTTCTACTCTACCTCAAGAACGTCGATGAAAATCTCCGCTCCGAAAACCGGTCGCTTCAGAAAGACCTCCACGAGGCCCGGCTCGACCTCGATGACGCCCGCAAGTCCCGTCGTGAGTTCCAGGCTAAACTCCAGGAGGCCGAGGACCTCCGCGACTACTACAAGCAAGGTGCCGAGATATATAGAGTGAGGAAGCTCTTCCCCGCCGCCACTGTTGTGGCAGGCGTTTGCGGCGTCGGGCGCTCGGCTGACGGTCCTCGCAGAACCGAAACCAATATGTCGTCGTCCTGATCGACGGTGATGGCCTCCTTGTAAGCCCCTCCCACTTCCTCGCTCGGTATTTACTCGGTACCCTGCAATTCCCCCACAGTTCCCCGGCCTTTGCTGACTGGGCCCAACCCCACACCTACCTACAGTTTAAAGAGTCGTTCATTACCCAGGGCGTCGAGGGTGGCAAGAGAGCTGCCAATTTCCTGAGGGGTGCCATTCTACAGCAGTGTGGCGAGCTTGCCGACGAGCTTGAGGTTCATGCCAAGGTCTGCGCCAATCTTTCGGGCCTGGCCAAGGCCATGAAGCGCGAGGGCTCTATACAAGTCGAGACGGATCTCCGCGACTTCTTTGTTGGCTTTTCGCAGGCCAAAGCCTCGTTTGATTTTGTTGATGTCGGCCACGGTAAGGAGCGTGCCGACTCCAAGATCAGAGGTGAGTAGCGTCCCTGTCTACCCTACCCGGCTTGGGTTTCAAAACATGCACTTACATGTCCACCCCGGTCCACAGAGGCGGCCCGATGGCACCTTCGCAACGTTAATTGCAGGCAGGTTGTGCTCGGCGTGTCGCACGACTCTGGATATGCCCCGTTTCTGGACGAGGTACTGCGCGACGAACAATCAAAAAACATGATCACCATTCTTGAGGGCTTCCCCACGGTGCGGGACATTGTCGCCACGGGCGTCAACCGAGTCAACTTTACAAATGACCTCTTTCGCTCCGACAAGTTGGTCGACCGGCTGCCGTCCAACGCGCCCCCGCCTGGTCTCGCTGGGGCGACCTCGCCGACTCCGATCAACTCCGTGCCCGGGGTCCCGTCGTACGCGGGCGTTACCGCCGTCAGCGCTAGTCCACCGCCCCCGCATGCGGCGCCTCCGCCGCCCACGCTCAACATCCCGTTGGCGCCCAAACCATCGGCGAATGCTTCGCGGGGAGCCAAACCGCCGCCGTGGAACCCGGGCCCTCGCGGCCTGGACAAGCCAATCCAGGTGAACCAGGCGGCCCTGGACGGCATAAAGAAGCGCAAGGATCAGAGCAAGCTGTGCAATAACCACTACCTCCGCCCGCCCTGCCAAAAGGGAAGTGCTTGCTGCTTTGAGCACGAGTACGAACCCACGAAAGACGAGAGGACAGCCATCGCCTTCCTGGCTCGCCTCAACCCTTGCACCAACGGGCAGGACTGCGACATTGGCAACTGCATTTACGGCCACCATGTGAGTTAGCTTCCACAGTCGCCACCCTCGAGGTCGGTACCACTAACAGCACAACCCACACCAACGCAGTGCCCCAGCACCATTAACGGACAGTGCCAACATCCGTACTGCAAGTTCCGCCCTGATGAGCACCCCCCGGGAACCAAGTACAAGTCGACGTACCGGAACGGAGACTCGTACGACTCCTAGGTTGGGAATGCGCTAAGTATCGACAACTCAATGTTCCGGGTAATGACCACTCGCTTGACTTTGAATTCCTTCATCGTGTCCTATGAATGCCTCTAAACCAAACCATGATGTTTACTGGGCCGGGGAGGGGTGACAGCAGCTGTGTCGTAGGGGTTTTCTTATTTCTTTTGTTGTCATTTTGACGCGTGGGATTCGCGGGCGTCGGTGTTGCTACATCTGTCTCGCACATGTAGCTGTACCTCACTCTCCTTGCCTGGGTCTCGTGCCCACAGACCTTGAGACACTTGGGCCGGGCTTGGTGGCTCCCAGACTGTGAACCGGCCACCATACTCTCATTTTAGATAGCTGGGCTTGCCATTTTGGCCCAATATTATATCCCACCGAACTGCCTTGGGCACTTGTGAGAGTGGTTTTCTTATGCATCTCAAATCCGCGGTTGCGAGTCGTGATCAAGACGACGTCATGAGCGGCGGGGACAGGTCGTGAGTTCCGGTGGTTTGGTTGCCTTGTCGCCATTAGCACCTCCCATGGGCGCCCCCCACATTCCCCACCAGCCAGAGCCCACGCACTTTAAATCGACGTCAGCGGGCGGCCCCGCAGCAGCCCACCAAAGTCGACAAATTCCAACAAGTCGAGGTGGCAGCAAGCGATTTGGATTGGATTCGAAGACGGCCAGAGTCCAACCCACGCCATCGCCACCCAGCACGAACGACCGACCCCCCTGGCGGCACGACTCTTGCCCTCCCTCCCCGCCTGCCCGCACAGCAACCCGACGACGCAATGTCTCACCCACGGATAGAAGAGGTCTCGGACAGCGACGACGCGGCGTCGGACCCGTCCGAGGGCGACATTGACGAGTTTGACGACGCCGACATCATCCAGCGCGTCGACGCCCACCAGAAGCAGCAGCAGCAGCAACAGCAACCCCAGAAACAAGCACAACAAGCACAACCGCCCAGGCCAAACCCGGCCTCCTCCCACGCACACGCACACCCGCCACAGCACGGCGAGATGGGCATCGCGCACGACCCGTCGGCCTACGCGGGCTTCCAGTGCCTGTACCCCATCTACTTTGACGCGGCGCGCACGCGCGCCGAGGGCCGGCGGGTGTCCAGGTCGGCCGCCGTCGACTCCCCGCTCGCGCGCGAGATCGCGCAGGCCTGCGGCAACCTGCGCCTGCAGGTCCTCTTCGAGCCGACCAAGACGCACCCGCGCGACTGGGCCAACCCGGGCCGCGTGCGCGTCCTGCTGTTGGGGCCCGACGGCGCCAGGCCCGCGGGGGTCAAGAACAAGCACCACCTGTACCGCCTCGTGTCGGAGCACCTGCGCGCCAACCCCACGACCGAGGGCTGCGCCGGCCTGCGCGCCGTCGCGGTGCCGGGCCTGCCGACG